TCACAGTCACAGTCACAGTCACAGGAGGGCTTGTCAACCTACCAACTAAGGCACAAGGATTGTTGATGTTTTTTTTGCTTTATTTAACCAGGTAAACCCCATTGAGATCTAGATCTCATTTTCAAGAGGAACCTGGGCAGAAGTCTGCAATACACAGCAACCTGTTTTTTGCTATTGATTTCTGAAAAGAATGCCTCCTTTGCATGTTTCAAGGTGGAATGACAGTCTCTGTTTATAGATTTCATAGTGAACCTAGAGTCGTGTTTTAAGCCATTTATGTTCAGCCAGTCAGAAGTCTTCAAGTATTACTTGGATTAAATAATTATCATTACTTTAGTAGTTACTTACTAGTGGGAAGCTCAGTGGGTCTCTCCACAACAGATGATCTTTTCAGTGCAGGTTTCAGAGGCTTCTGACCAGCTGGACAAGTTGGACTGAAGGTGGACTCCTCAGTAGAAATCTAAGCACAAACACAAAGATGAAATCTAAACCACCTAATCTTCCCTTAACGCTCCATCACTCTCACTAACGTCGGACCCATTAGATAAATGAATGTGCTTTCAGCAGAGTGAGGAGATGGAAACAAATCAAGGGAGTGAAGGAAGCAAGACAAAAAGAAAATGCATACAAAGACACAAGAGGCCAGTGGGAGGAATAAAGTTCAGAGGCTGAATGTGGGGTTGGCTTTGATTTAAAATTTCATGACTGCAGTGGGTTTTCTTTCAGCCATTTTCATGACCTGAAGACATTTTTGCTCAGCTATGTTATTGATGCTCAGAAAGTGAGGAAAACATCTAGTTTCAGCCATAAAGAAGTGATTGCTTATGTGAAAAAAAAGTTAGAATATTCATTGTTAATGATATTTTTAAAGTTTCCAGTTCCATTACATAAGGTAGTTACACTTGTGTCTCCCTATAACTGAATGCATTATTCAACAAAATCTTCTGAGAGTTCCACTAAAAGACAGAAGTGTTTCTCTGATTAGCTGCATTACGTGGGTAATATTGGGGGGAAACCAAGCGTTGCAGAGTAAACAAATACACTTCTAATTGCTGAATTCATTAGGACCAGAGTTGTCTTTTAAACATGGGTGTGTGTAGATTGTTGATGACTTAAAATATAGCCTAAAAGACTTTATAATTTGTCTCTAGGTGAATGCTTACATCATAAGTAGTCTATCGCCTTAAAAATCACATTCTC